AGCACCATCATTTTTTATTATTTTTTTTTTTACACATTTTAAAGTAATTGTTAAAACTAAACGAATCACTAAATATACATTTTCTAATATGGTAATTATGTAGTGACCAAAAAAACACTTATATTTTAGCCTTTTCAAAAATATCCTTTTCGATTACTTTTTTTAACGAACTCTGCAAGCTCATTGATTTTTTTTTTTTTTTTATAAATTCATTTTTGTAAAGAGTTTTGTAAAGAATTTCATATGCAGGCACAAATTACATTTCTCAAAAAAAAAAAAAAACGTTTCAAGCATTTAAGCATATGGTTTTAAAGAAACAATGTCAGTGTCCGGCTGGCAGGGTATAGCCACATATGAGCAAGCATCTTTTTCTCCTTTAAAAATTTGTTCCAGAAATAATGTTATTATCAAGGGTAAGTGAAATGGCTATTGCAGATGTCTTGCACTGTCTTCGCCGATAAAAGCTTCTCGGTTGGAAGAAAAACTTGCCCTTGATGCAGCTCACACACACACACAGGCAATGAGTAGCTAGCAGAGAGCTAATATGCTACGGAGAGGGCTCAAAAGCATATGAAGAAAAAAAACCCAGCTCAGTTGCCGAGATGGGCTGAATGTTGAACAGGCAGCTTTATGCTTTACTGAGCTGTAGGGGCTATCAGCAGGTACCAGTGACGCTTAAATGATTCAGTATATGTATGTCCACAGCGTAGAAACGGTATATCACGCTTCATGTGTTATGGGACCTAAATATCCACAGGCATGTTTTGTGGATGGATTCCCTGGAAGTACCAACTAAGCAGTTTCTTTTCACCAAATGTTGTTAAAACATGATGTATAAATGTAAATGTCTCAAGGGTCCCTCATTCAGTATATAATATTATAATATGATATAATACAACATAATATGTAACACACACATATACATATATACAATATGGTCACACTATGTATGTATGGTCACACTTTAGATTAGGTTCCAATTCTCACTATTAACTAGGACTTTTGCCTAAATAAACTCCTAATTACTGGTTATTAATAGTTAGTAAGGTAGTTATTAAGTTAAGGTATTGGGTAGGATTAAGGGTGCGTTTACACAACACAGTTTTCAACTAAAAGCATAAAAAAATGTATGCGTTCATTTATTCATATTCATTTACACGACAATGGCGTTTTGGGGGCTTGAAAACGAACGCTTTTGAAAAAATGGGTTTCAAAGTGCAAGGTTTTGAAAACGATGCCTTTACCGTCTCCTTGTAAACCACAAAAATGTGAATTTGTGAAAACGGTGACGTCATGCGCATGTGTATTACATGTTCAAGCATCCCTATTACTGTGTTTCTTGACAAAGTGAAATCGCCAACTACTTGCCTGGTATGCAAAATACAGCCTTTTTAGTCATTTTCACAGACCCATGTGAACGGAGATTGTTTCGACAAAATTTTCATCTGTTTTTAGTACATCGTTGTCGTGTAAGCATACACTACGGGAATATGTAGAATATGGTCATGCAGAATAAGCCATTAATATGTGCTTTATAAGTATTAATAAACAGCCAATATCCTAGTAATATACAACTAGTTCATAGTGACAATTGGACCCTAAACTAAAGTGTTACCATATATACATATATATAAAAGAAAAGTCATGGGGCTTTCGAATATTGTTGTGGACAATGGTGGGGATTGGAGTCAAAAAGGTAGAGAACCACTGCTCTAAACAATTCTGCCCATAAGAGGCAAAATGACTCAGATTTCCCAATTTCATAATGCCCATTTACAGTTTTAACAGAAGAGATGGTTTATGTGGGTGAGCTGAATGGTGACTGTGTCCGTGGTACCTTTAACAAAATCACCGGCCGAAGATAAACTCTTGCAATTCCAGCGTCATGCTGTCACCCAGCAGGCGAGCATCACGTGGTGGGGATTACAGATGTGGAAATCAAACTAAACGTCTAAGTATGTGATTACTAGAGCCCCTATAAAGACGAACAGCCGCAATGTGTGGAAAGCTCAGGTCTCTTAACCGTGTTAACCTCTCCAATCTACACTCCAAAATTCCGTTTTGGAGCACACACACACACAAGCTCATCCCTTCAAGCTGCCTCCACTGTGAATCTCCGTTGGGGTGCTGACAATCCCATGACCCAGTTTCTCAGCTCAAATCCTATGGAGGAAGACACTCCAGAGCTCCTCACAGCGAGATTACCGTTACAAAGAGCTCATTTCTGCCATTCCTGCCCCAATGAAAAGCACTCCATTCAGCCACACTGTGTGAGCTTAGCGCTGTAGAAAATACGCCTCAGGAAACAGAAGAGAGTGCCCATCTTCAGCTGGCATGCTAACAGTCGAGGGGCCATCGGGTCAGACCTTATGCCAGACCCAAACTCAGAGTCTGGTGTGCACCACCAAGCCACTCGAAAACCATTTGTATCCAACAAAAGGGCCGTGATTGTAATCCGAAGTGCTCTATGCTGGGAGATACGGATAAGAATGAACAGCCATGGTAAAAAGACTTGATACAAGAGGGTTTATTATCAGAGTTTACAACACACATTCACAGTATAAAAGGTTACGAGAGGATATAGAAACAGAAAAAAAAGGATGAATCTACGGACGGCAAGACAAAGTGTTGAACAAGAAGAGATGGGGGGGGGTCTGTTGGAGATCGTTCGAGAGCTGCCACAATAAGACGAAAGGAAAAGAATAGAAGAGATAAATATAAGAGGCAGTTCACTGAGCCGAGGTTGTGGGAGAAGACGTCCGTCTCTTTCTATTTTTTACTCTCTTCTATCACGGCGTTGTGTGCCGACGGTAAATGGTGAGTGGGATAAACTGAGGCGCTGTTGGCAGATTTAGAGAGAATCCAAGAGACAAAATACGACAGGAGAGAGGAAAAAGAAAAGGAGGGGGGAATACAAAAAAGGACAGAATAATTTTTTTGATAATATGTCTGTTGCCCCCCCCCCCCCTCTTCCCTGTCTTTTTGTTTGAGTTGATGTTTGTTTCATCTTTATTTCTAAAGACATTAAAGAGGTGATCACAAAAAAAGGACAGAATAGAATAATTAAAGGGAACAAAAGACAAGAAAGAAAAAGAAAAAGGAAAAGGAAAGGAAAGGAAGATAATAAACGGAGTAATTTCAAGAGGGTCCTCGCGCCATTGGTACTTGGGCCCTAGGGGGGGGGGCATGGAGGCCTAAAATTTAGCTGTAAGACTTCTGTCCTTCTACTAACGCTGTTGTTCAGTGAATATAAAAGCCTTCGCAGCATGAAAAGTGGAGAAAGCCAGCGTCAGCAAGCACTTCCAGAACCCACAGCGAGACCGCAAGGTGAAAACAGACCACGAGCTGTTTCACTTTGTGTCATTTCGCATGGCAATGCCCTGTTTCTCATGGAGCTGTCGGAGCCAGAGAGCAATGAATGTTTTGTCAGCTGACCGGGCTCGTATGAATTAACCAATCTCTTATTGCAGTTAGAGTAAATCTTTTATTTTGAGGTTATTTTTGAGTTACAGCCCAGTCTCCATCACTCACAGTAATGAATAGCTGTTAAAATGTTAACCTTTTTCCAGTGCTGCTGAATCTTTCTTGCGGCACTGAGCTGTGCCACAAGAAATTATATTTTTCCTCAGTGAGTTTAAAATGGAGTAATCTGAATTGAAAGTAATGAGATAAACTGAGTACTATGACATAATATTAAGACAATTAATAGCCCTTATACCACCCTGATTCTGACTAGCAATAGCAATTAGTAAATAAACAAATTCCAAGAGGGTCCTCGCACCATCGGTGCTTGGGCCCTAATTAACAGATCCAATCATTGAAGTGAGCTGTAGGACTCTATTAGCTGTGGTCCAAACCAAAGAGCACTGAATTGGTTGTGATGGATTTCCCACCCCAATCTCGCCTACTTTCTAGTCTCTCAAAAGTTCCTTGTAACCCTGTCCAGACCCCCTCCTTCCTGATCTACACTTTCACCCACAAGAAAACAGTCCAGAATGGCTAAATGAATATTTAAAAGCTGCAGCCTTCTCAGTCCTGGGGTGGTGTACAGGCAAGCTCCTCTAACGTGGGCTGAGGAGTGACATGTCTTTGAATAACCAAAGGGGAAGAGAGAAACAAAAGCAAAAAATAAACAATTACAGTGTAGCCCTCATCTTGGCTAGAAAACAGGCATTAATAAAGCCATTAGTGCCTTCTGAGATTAAAAGAGCAGTGTAAAGACCTGAGTCTAACCCTGTTTCCATGAACGTGGTAATAAAGCGTGCGGTCTACTTCAATCTCAAGTGGGATAACTTAATTTGTCAGGTTTTATTTAGCATTTTCTCTTTATAATGGATCTTTTGTTTAGAACTATGAAAGAGACCAAAGTGCAAAACACTACCAGAAGGATTGCTAGTTTTTGATTTAGGTATGTGGTTTACACAAAAGGTTATTGCTTAATAACAATTATTTTTCTTTCTATACATCTATCTATCTATCTATCTATCTATCTATCTATCTATCTATCTATCTATCTATCTATCTATCTGCATTCCTACATCTATAACTCAACTATATCTATTTACCTTCTCATCTTTCCACCCATATCTATCAATCTGTCTACCTATCTATATCTATCCATCTACCCATCCGTATCTATAGCTCAACTAAAGGATCTGGCCCACGCTGTCATATTTCAATATTAATCTAACAATAATCCTTCTTAGACCTCTTCCATCCAAACATCAGATTGCTCTTAGGAGTCAGACATAACCTTCAACCCCATCTGCTACAGTTTCTAACTGTGTATCCTCAAGTTTCTTTTTCACAACCAATAGCTAACACAGCAGGACAGCTGAGAGAACATATGAAGAACCTCTGAACATGCTTGCCATTTAAAGCCACTATTGTGGTCGCAATATTTGTTTCAAAGAGAATTGTTTCCGAGAGCATGTTTTACCCCAAAAAATGTGATATAATCTAATACCATCATTTGAGACAGAAAAAGAAATAATACTTACGTTGGCAGTGTCCATCCACCTCCTCGAAGCCTGGCCGGCACACACAGCGGCCGATGGGCACCAGCCAACCTCCGTCAGCACTGCAAAACATCCGTGGTCCCTCCAGCTCTTCCGCATCCTCCACACAAGTGCCACGCACTTCCACCAGCGCTGAATCGCCACCCGTTACCGTGTCCGGGAACCTGGCCAGATTGAGCACCGCCAGCGGACATCGCTTATAAAACACTCTCACCGACACCAAAGCAATGCAAGCACCTAGGTCCTGAAACGCCAGGTACAAGCCTCTCTTACTGAGACCACTGATGTCTCGCACTTCCGTATTCAGCTTCATGACACGATCTCCGACGTCCGTCTGTGTGAAGCTCTCGTCGGCCGCTATAGTGTCGATCTTCACATATTGGCTCTCGCGAATGTGGCGCAAAGGCGCTGCGACTGCATTGTTGGATTCATGGTAGTACACGTTAAACGTCTCCTTACAGGTTCCAGGGACGCCCGGCAGGCTGTTGCAGTCACGCAGAGTGAATTTGATCTCCACATAGACACGTTGAGCGCCCTCTCGCTGGATCAGTCCCGTGCGCAACCAGTTGTTCTGATTGGCTTCCATTACATTGCACACCTGGTACGTCCTCATAGGTATGTTCCTCTCGTCCATAACACTGATCTCCTCCCACTAACAAACAGACCAAAAGTTGATCAATTCAAAAGACAGACATCCTTCAATGCTTTGGTAATTGTCTTGAGTATTTTGGCTCTGAACTCTCTAAGCTCTTACAGTGGGTTCTGAAAGATTTTGACAGATGCATGAAGGGCACATTACGAGAAAACGCTTCATTTAACTTTCATCAAGAGGAAAGTGCATCTGACAGGCAATCAGCTCAAAGTTACAAACTGAATAGTCTCAGTTGTTTTGTTCGTGCATAATTCAACTCATTGCTGATGCAGAGAAAATAATATAATTGTGCCTTGGAAACTTCAATTCTAAATCCGTAAAAATAAACAAAGGTTAACGAAAACCATGAAAAATAACATGGTTTGTTGGTTTGGCATTGACGTCAGTAAGTTTGTGGGTTAAAAATAATGGCACAAAAAGCAGCAACGTTCAAACTGTCTTAATGTTTTACACGCAACACAAATCTTTCATTTCAGAACTGTTGTATGCATACTGCTGGAAATGCCAAACCTTGAACTCTTCCCCTGCTTTATCAGCAGCACACAAAAACATAATATATTTCTCTTTACAGGCACTCATGAATCTGAGCGTGACTACTTGTGCCAAGGCCACTATTACAATCCATCTTCATCTTGTGAAAAGGGATTTGAATGAATGACACGAAAGCGTGGGATGAGAACCAACTCCCACAGAGGAGATCGTTACTCAGAGGGGTGGCAAGGTTGTTCAAAACGAGATACTCTCCTACGACCCCCCACAGGAAACTCTAAAGAGTCACAGGCTGTATTTTCACAGAGGGGAGCAGTGGACCATTCAGGGTCGAGAAGATCAAGCAATACACTTTAAATTCGGGGTATAACAGCACTAGTTGGGGATGAAGTAGCAATTGAAAATCTGGGCTGGTAATTGAAAGGTTTTAGGTTCAAAATACCCCTACAAGGGAAAATCATTAGATGTTACCAAGATTGTGTGCCATTCAAAATTCAATTGAGAATTCTTTTTAAAATCAATCAATTACTGAATTTGAAATGAGATAGCGACTTGAATTTGAATGTACAAAAATTACAAATTAAAAGGAGCTGCGCAGACTTTCACAGGTACTCACCCCCTCTGATGGATACGCTTCCCAACCCAGATCACCTGGGGCGGACATAGAGTCGAGCAGAGTAACTGTAAAAGAATGAAAAGAACAGAGATATAGAGTTATTTAAAGCCACAGTGCTATCACAGAACCACATTTTTATCATTTGTTCAGATTTTTTGCAAACAACAGTGGGGTTTTTACACAGCATGATGCCATGTAAAGCATGAATCATTCAAGTCTGCAGTCTTTCTGAATAACATAATAGAGCTCTAGAAATGTCAGAACCACTTGTAACAGCCTAATCAACACTTTGCATTTGAGGTTATTCATTCTAGTTTGATTCATATGGCCAAGGCATAGTGGATTTATTTTATTGACCTAAACCTCAACAACTTCTAAGACAAATCCCAATAATCCAGTCAGGTGGCGTTACATCAGTTGTGACCACTACGAAACGTGATTCGCAGCTCTTTACGCAGTCTTTTTGAAATCTGTTCTCACATCAATATTTTCAGAGGTTGATGGTGCTATTTATAACAGTCTTTCAATCTCCCAATGGTCGGAGCCCTGAACTTCCCACTTTGAGCTCCGTTCCAAACCAATTACATCCCTGGCAACCGGGGTGATTAATTCTTAATCACATCCAAACCTCAGATGTTCCTCCTCTTTCACGCTGAATATCAACCTCTCCCGCATCCTGGCGCATGTGTGTGTGCCCTTTTGTGACGATTTTTTTTTAAAAAGGAAGAAGGAAAATAGGAAAATCAAAGACCATCTGTATCCAAATTCTAATTAAAACTGACTGCCAATGGGTTTGTGTGACATGCAAACAGTGCGCATTTTTAAATCGCGCTTTGATGGTTGGTTGATGTGGAAACAGGGATTATGTCTGGTTTTATGGGTCGTATAGAGCAATTGGGCAAATTTGATGACTTGACACTCGAAGAGAAAACCATACGCAGAGTCAAAGCAGGATATTACTTCTTAACTGAATACAGATTACGATGCCATTAACCGCTGGTGCTCGTGTGGCTGTTTTCTGATGAAGGGGTAAAACCAGACAGGCCAATATATCAGTCCAAACGATCTGGAAACCATTCTGCTCTGCCTTTTAAAGACAAGTTTAATAAAACAAACAAACGAATACAGCCACAGGCCTTGCACAGCCCAATAATACAAGCAGCAGGCAACATTTAACTCACATCAAGGCAAAATTTATTCCACCTGAGACATCAGTTCTGGCTCAGAGAGCATTCTTTAAACAACTGCCGCACAGTCCTTGATGAAAAGACTAGCGTGTTGTGTTTTGGACACCAGGCTGCTAAATCACAAACAACTGATCTGCTCAAACTTCTAAACCAGCAAGATGGTGCAAGTTGACTCTTGAACAAGCAAGGACTTTGTTTCACAAGCTTAACCACCAAGACTACTTGGTCAACCAGTTGCACCTGAAAGATCAGGTGCAAACAACTTAACTGACAAGGTTTTGCAAGTAAACATAACTGTTATGTTCGCCTTTCAGCAAGATAAGTGCCAAAAAACAGGCCCTAACTAGAATAATTACTTTTTAATTAATCCTTTATAGATCTAGCCTGGGCTCAACAGTTGGCAAGGTAGCTCAGATTTTTACTGTCACAAACAAATGTAACTATAATTTATGAATTTAAATCTATAAAACATGACAAAACATAATTGCCATAATTGTCAATAATCCATTCTTACTGATGCTACCAAGATTATCACAAGCTATTTTAGCAACTTCGACACTCAATATCAATTTTACCAGACTGACAAGTTTAGCTAAGTTGACAAGCAGAGTACGTAACCAAATATCACAGAAAACTAAATGTTTAAGGAGTCTAGTTTTCTTTCCCACTTCCTAGTTCAGAGATTATTTGTCATTCAAAAGGTGAAAGATCCCTTTAATCTACCTCTCAAAGAAAAAGAGAAGGGAGTGCTTCATGAAGTTGGTGTTCCTGCTACCCTAAGGAAGGATTCAATCAAGCATACTAAAAGATGAGACACTACCACACAAAAAAAAATTTACAAGATTTTATAACGAAAACCCTTTTAAGTACAAAAGCAGTCTACATTATGGCAAAAGAGATTACTATTAAATTCACTTTTAAATCACTATTACAGGACCAGTGTTGTAACCACCAGAGACACTGAGGGAGAAGCGTCCCCTCAAATATTCAGATTAGTGGTTGAATGATACGTTTCCTTTTCACTGGCCCACTATATTTAGACCCCATTATCCTGAAAATGGTAACAGTCTTGAACAGGTCCAGGCAAATACACGTGATGTTTACTATAACAGCTGCTAAGATAGAGAATGGGGCTTTTCTTCATCATTAGCTCTCAGCTGGCAACTCTGGATGTGGCCAACGCTGGAATCCCCACGGGGTGGCCACGAGATCTCAGCACCTTAGGGCAATAGATGAGATTAACCATTAGGCCAAACTCTTAAAAGAGTGCAGTGGTCAGCAATCACTGCTCCAATGTAAACAGGCAAGGGAAGCAAAAACTGAAAAATGGGAAAAGGATAAGGGTAGGTCAAGAGAGAGGGAAAGGATAGACAAGCTGCTGGATAGATGCCCTCGGGGAATTGAAAAGGACAATGGGGTCACTCTCACTCATGCATAGCCGCTGCCAGGTACTTCTCAAGTATCCTACTTAAATAGGTAAATCAATCTATGAGGATGCTATTCTTAACTCCTTAATACAATTTGATAAGATTTAGAGTTATTGGGAATTTAAAAAGTTTAAAATCTGCTACAACTCAACTTACAATATTTTATATCTATTAGATGTATATTTTCATTTTTTGTCTACTTCAAGTGTGTAGTTTCTGTGCCCTTGCAACACCAATTGAAAAGCAAAATTGCAAAAATCATGATATTTTACAAGTACAGGTTTCCTTCCACAGGTCCGTTAGCGAAGGGAACAAGCAATGGTCACTTCAAAGAAGTAATTTAATCATTTATGGTCATGTTCTGCCCTTCGTAGTGAGTAGGGCATAGGGATGCTCACTCACTTCCGATTGGAATTTGCCCTTTCGCTGTTAGGTTGATCAGGATTCTCAAACAAACAAAGAAACATTTTGACAACGCCACAGTGCACCTACTAAATAATTGGTGAAAAATGTACATGAAAATAGTAGTTTGTCTGAATTCTCAGTATTCATAAAACAGCAAGCAAAAAAAATAAATAAAAGTACTTTGATAACCTACTATATCCGTCGAGATTTCTAAGTATGCATCAGATGGATACATTACTACTCCATGAGGCCACGGGATAGGAATTGTGAATGGCAGTGAACTGAGGCAGTAAGTCACTTGACAATGACAACATGGCGGATGTAGCACGTCTGATATTCATTCTTACTATACAAACTCACGTTATATAAAACATACTTATTTAACTCAAAGTAGTTTTTCAACAAATGTAGTTCAATATAATGCAGCTATCGTGTTAAAACTTTTCACCGAAATCAACCATAGTAAAGTTTTCCCTAAATTTTAGGATGGAAAAGTATTTTAAAATCAACAAAATTACACACTTAACCTTTAAGTCTCGGAAGCCTTCCACATTTGTCATGTGGTTCACTTGTATGGTTCCAAGAAAAGGACTCTGGGGTGACTGAAGCACAAAACACAGGGCTTGCAAAGACTGATATCTCGGTTTCCACAGCATCCACTCCAAGCGCGGAAAGCATATCTATTGTAAGAGATTGGTATCATACAGCTGTCTTGACAGAAGTGGTGGAGTGTATTTAAAATGCAGTCAGCAGTTCTTGTCAGTCACTGCTCATGTGGAGTCAGAGGTCTGCTCTAGAGGGAGGTGGTGAAAGAGCCTCCATTCGGCCTCAACTGACTGATGAGACCTGCCACAGAGATCTAGCCTATCCGGCACAACCATCACACGCATCTGACTCAATGCCCAAAAGAACAGCCATCCAGTTACAGCCTGACACCCATGAGTCATCTCATAATATCCACTGACAAACCTTTTTAACACGTGTAAATGAAGATGTTTTGGTATTTTCTAAGCAGGCATATTTATGTGCATCCTATCATGTGGATGGATTCAAACAAGTGGATGGAGTTTTTTGTTTTTATGCTGCATTCACATCGGAAATTATCATAAATACAAGTTTCATAATTGGAAATTGGACATGAGTGGTCTCTCCAGTCGTATTTATGACTGGAAACTCTTGGTGGAGGAGATAACTATTGCTGTAAGTGACTGTTAATTAGTTTTATTTGTTTTCCCACAACATCAATAATCGCTTTCTCTTGCCATTACAGTCATGTATATTTACATATTTAAATTCTATTGCATATTGCATGTGTTTTAGACTGTGAAAACAGTATTTATTTGACCAAAACAAGCTGGCAAACTAGAAAACATCATATTTAGACAGGAAGCACATCAGATTGTGAATTACAATGGACACAAGGGCCATTTCCCAGTCTAATAACGTGTGTAATGTGTGTCAGGCACGACTGACTGGCCATGCCAAGGTCTGTTTAATGATGAGAGGTGTAAACAGTCTGCTGCCAAGACATGGCATGAAATGGTGACCTGTGTGTGTTAGTTAGTGGAAGACAGCAGGGAAGACACTCTTGGGATGCCTCATTAGAAGCACAGACACGGCCCGGACCACACCTGCCGCATCGGTGAGTGTGGATGTGTGTGCGCGGAGTCGCACAAAAGCATTAAACTGCACCCATGCTGGATATCAAATCCCAAGAGGGCATGAAACAGGTTACAACAACATAACAGCACAAGTCATAATTAGAGAGATTAGACCAAGCCGCACCCGAAGAGGATGACATCACCTTTGAGCTTGTGGTTCATAACAAACCTTTATAATTAAGACTGATAAAAGAGATTATAGTTTCTCAGAACACCACTGATGAGCAAGATGCTCACTGGAGCTAAAACCTACAGTTTGTCAACCAAAAACATTAAATATTAAAATGCAATTCACAAACTAGATTTTAGAGAGGTTTTTGCCCACTAGGGTGGTTGCTGAAGAATGCTCTACAGTCGCATTTTAGATGCTTGCTACGTGATTTCT